CTTCCTGTCATCCGCTACCTCCTCCATCCTCTCCCTACCTCCTCCTCCTACTCCTGCCTTCTCCTCCCTCCTCCTCTACCTCCTCCTCACTGCCTCCTCCTCCTCCTCCGGCATACCTCCTTCCCCTCCTTCATACCTCCCTCCCTTCCTCCTCCTCCTCCTCTCCTCCTCCTCCCTCCTCCTCCCTCCTTCGCCTTCACCCTAATCATCCTTCCTCCTACACATCCTTCCTTCCTTCACTCCTCGACATCCCATAAACTCCTCCTCGTCCCTCTCCTCCTAGACCTCGTCTACTCCTCCTCCCTCCGTCACCATCCCTACCCCTCCTCCTCCTCCTACCTCTCCTGCCCTCCTCCACTCATGCACTCTCCTCACTCCCTCATCCTCCTCCTCCTCCTCCTCCTCATCTCCTCCTCCTCCTCCTCCTCCTCCTCCCTCCTCCTCCTCCTCCTCCTGCCTGCCCTCTCCTACCTCATCCTCTCCTCTCCTCCTCCTTACCTCCCTCCCTCCCTCCCTCCCTCCCTCCGACAAACGCCGAGGCGGAGCGCCGGGGCCGCAGGCCCGTGCCCCTCGCCGCCTGCGGCCGCGCTCCAGCGCGCCAGCCGCCCGACCTCCTCGGCTCGGGGGGGGGTCTCGCGGGGGCGAGGCGAGCGCCCGAGGCTTCTCCGTCTCCCTCGGAGGCGCGGGGCTGGAGCTGTCCGCGGTCTCGCCTCGTCTTTCCAACCTCGAACTTATTCCTATCCCTAAGATTGACACCCCAAAAAGCGATGACAATCTTAAGGATGCGCCCTCATAACATAAGGGAATCCCTAAGATTGGCACCGTGATGAGGCGAGGAGATGCCCAGCACAGGGATAGGGATATGTTCCAGGCTGGTCATCGTCGGCTCTCTCGCAGGAAGACTCCTGTGCGAGTCGGAGAGGTATCCGTGACCACCGCCTGGGGATCGACGCCCTGGTGCCGGGCTGATATGGATACTCCAGATTTCGTAATAAAGGGAGGGGGGTCTCATTTCGGGGGGGGTCTCTTCCAGGCTATCGTGGAGGGCCCCCAGGGTCTGGGGACGATGTTTTGGAGGCTTCTCCCACGGGGGAGGTCTGAAATGGCTTGTCTTGGAGGGTCCAGACCCCCTCCCTTTTATTACGAAATCTGGAGTAATCGTCGGCTCTCTCGCAGGAAGACTCCTGTGCGAGTCGGAGATGTATCCGTGACCTCCGCCTGGGGATCGACGTCCTGGTGCCCGGCTGATATGGAGACCTGTCGGCCCCCGGGGGCCCGAAGAGGTCCACGTCCCCCGCCTGCCGAGGCTCCGAAGGCTGGCCCTCCGGGCGGTGGTCATGTACTCCAGATTTCGTTATTAAAGGGAGGGGGTCACAATCCTCCCAGACCACAAGTTTTAGACCCCCCCAGACCATCCATGAAAGGGCGGCACTTTGCCCAGACCCCCCCTAACCCTTCAAGACAGCTCAAATCAGACCCCCCCGCCAAATGTAACCCCCAATACTTTATTATGGAATCTGAAGTATAGATTCCCGCCTCGGATCCTGCCTCGGGGTGCTCTCCCAAAAGCTGGGGAAGAGCAAATGCCCAAAACGCACGCTGTCACCCGTGAGCTGAATTCGGAACGAACAGATACGGAACGGGAGACACGGGAAGATCTTCAAACATCCCCAGAGCGGCAAGAGTTTCAAAAAGAGAGCTTCGGATCGTTTAACAGCGAGCGCGGCCAACGCGGCGAGAGGGGCCAGCAAAGGGAAAGACAAGAATTGAAGGTGCCAAGGGCGCTGGGCTGTTTCACCTTCGGGATCCACGGACAGGGTGGGCAAAATACTACATATCCTGCTGGGCCGCATCCTCATGAACACCATGTTAGACTGCGGTGCGCTACGTGGAATGTTCGTGGCTTGACACCGGAAAAATTCTGGAAATCACAAGGTCAGATGGAGACATAGAATTACATATTCTATGCATGCAGGAAACACGGAAAACAAAAGCAGAGGTTTACGAAGATGAGAACAGTGGCAGCCGCGTCGTTCTTTCGGGAGAAGTTACAGATGCCACATCATGGTCTGTATTGGCTTCATCATCTCTCCCAGTCACGTGCCTCTTGCACGATCGTGTAAGCAATTTTTCTGAAAGAATCGTACGATTAAAAAATTAAAATTGGGCATCGTATATTCGGGACCTTCGGCGTGTGTGCATCCCACAACGTGAAGCCCTTACCGGAGACACGCATTGTTTGGAGTACTCTGGACGCCGAGTTCCGGACGTGCTCAGCCACAGCCGGCGAGCTTATCATAGGGGACGTGAATGCACGAGTTGGGCATGCAGACGCCGGGGAATCTACGACATTAGGGCCATGCACTTGGGGTAGGCGGACCATACATCAAGTCGAAGTCCCCAGTCGGGATTTGCTCATGAAGTTTTGCTTTGGCCTCGAACTAATGTTGGCAAATACTTATTTTGAGCGGCGTTTGGAAGGCGCCGCTATCTTCATGAAGGCGGGCGCCAAACCACTGGGGCCTATTACCGAGGACAAATACAACAGTTTGGGTTACGTCATGTGTGATGCTCCCACGTTGGCCCAAATACTGATTTTAAGCACGCATCGCGAAGCAGCACTGACTACGGACCACTACCTGATGACAGCGGACATTTAGCACGCTCAGCATAACGGTCCATTGCCGCGCAAACCACCTACAGACAGAGATCTGCTTCGAGACCCCGCAGTGCAATCAATGTACGCAAAAGCATTTCTGGACGAGATTGCTGGCCACGCGACTCCCCAGAACGGGGTCTCTTTGTGGGAGCAGGGTGTACATACAGCACTAGCAACTGCAACTGTTATACCACGACGTTGAGAAGAATTTAAGCGATCATGGGCATCTCAACGTACATTGGCACTGATACAAAAACAAACGAAACTCGTGTCAGCAACAACCGTCAAGAAGAGCGACGCTTGCTGAAAGAAGTAAGGCGATCCTGCAAAATTGATCAGACAAAGTGGATGGACTCGACCATAGCATCGAGGCGCTGGGACGAGATTCGGAGATTCTGCAGACCACGACGACATAAGCAGGGCAGGCTTCAAAACTTGCAGAGGCAATTGGTTGCAAGCCATGAGAGCGCAGATACCATGGCGACCTATTTGGAGCTAGGGCGATGGAAAGTACGGCCTGTAAACTTGATTGACAACAAGGCCCTGGGTCCGCCCCTTCCCGTCGACGAGTCGGCTTTCACCGTGCAGGATGAGAGAAAAGCAATGCGGAAACCCAAATGGGGAAAGGCAGCAGGACCAGACAACATTCCCGCAGAGTATTGGAAAGCCATATATCACAAACACCAGGCGGGCTAAAGTGGGTTACAGAATTATGCAATTCAACATGGGCGGAGCACAGAGTTCCCGAAGCATGGTGGCATGCCACTGTGAGCACAATATACAAGAACAAGAGCCCTGTGCGCATGTGTGAAAATCACCGGCCAATTAGTTTACTATGCATGGCGTGCAAACTACTAGCTGAAAAAAACTCAATGCAGGGGCAGAGGACCGGCTGACACAATCTCAACGCGGTTTCCGCCGCAAGCGAGGTACAGCAGACGCCATTCACGCAGTACGCCGCCATGTCGAGCTCGCACACGCGAGGAAAGATGGTGGGACTACATTTGCTGCCCTGGACTGGAAAAAGAACATGTGATTACATAAACGTCGAAGCAGTGATGACTGCACTGCGCCGCTTTGGGGTACCCCTGAACATGCTCACACTGAGTGAAAAAAATTACGAGGCAAGGCGATTTTGCGTAGCCGACGGGGCGATCAAATCTTCTGAGAGAAAGCAAATGTCGGGACTATCACAGGGGTGTCCGTTGTCGCCATTTCTCGTCGTCATGATGATGACTGTGGTCTTGCGAGACGCCGTGAGCAACCTAAGCTACAATGACAAGTTCGATATGGTTTCTGGAAATATTTCGGTACTGCTGTATGCCATCGACACGCTGCTCATCGAAAGAAACCGAACCAGCTTACAGCACCTCCTAGGCAACATCGATTTGGTGGGGGCGCGGGTTGGAATGGAGCTGCACTGGGACAAATTCCAGATGATCAACATAAACAGCGGCGTCACGTTGAGGACGCCGGCTGGGCAACTCATTGCCGAAGAAAAGCATTACATATTTGGGTGCTACTTTATACTCTTGTGGACAGTTGGATACAGAGCTAAACAAAAGAATGGGGGCGGCTTGGGCGGAATTTCCCAAATATGACAGGACATGGAAACACACTGCTTTGAGCAGTCGGCGAAAGCTGGATCTATTCCAGCACTGGTTACATCCAAATCATGTTTTCACTGAACACGGCGTGGCTAAACAAAGCAGAAGGAAAAGGCTGAATGGTTTTCAAGCTAGATGCCTGCGAAGAATACTCCATATACCTCCATTTTTCTTACGCGAGTACCTAATAGCAAGGCTCTGGAGCAAGCTGGGCCAAACCAGTACAGCACGCAACTTGTTCAACAGCAGGTATTAGTATTACTTATTGGCAAAATTGGCCTGGCGACAGATAGAGACTATCTTCGACAGCTCACTGTTCAGCCCAGCACTGTTCTTTCAGCCGTGGATGCGAATCAAAGGGGAGGCGAGGCAGGCCCAGACACGAATAGGCGAAATTTTACACAAGGCGTTGGTTGCTCGTCTTGGCCTGGAATATACTTGGGCGCAGTGCCTGCAGGACCCCATCGAGTGGCGAAGTATTGCTGAAAACATTGCACACCATAGTGATGAACCCGATCGCTTTGCACTATGTAGTTGTTTACATACGTTGCATGTGGTGTCCCGTGTCTTGGTGTACTATCAGCAGCCTTCGGCCGGACACGCTCCAGACGAAAGCCGTATCCTTCGCCAGCTGGCTGTCCTCGCGACCGCCGTCGTGCCGCCGCTCCCGCAGAGCGGTGAGAGTAGGCTGGCCCTGTCTTCACTACCTGCCAGACCACCCCAACGCAACCCGAAGACCCGAGTTTGACCCGAATTTCGGGTTTGGGGGGGTGCGGGTTCCATGTGGTTTTTCAATGTTCCCCGGCCCCCCCCCCACTGGAGATGGAGGGCAAATTGAGGCCTTCGGGTTGGGTTGGGGTGGATCGGTGGGTGGTGATGTCTTCCTTTCGCCCACGCGCTCAGGCGTGTGGCACGCGCGAGTGAGTGCCACACGCCTGAAGAAAAAGGGTGCGTTCCTGTACCTGCGCCTCGCCGAGGGCGTTCCAGGACTGCCCAGACCGCCCCGATCGGCCGCCATGGCCAGAAATTCGGTCGCGCGGAAAGAAAAAAAAAAAAAAAAAAAAAACACGCGGTGGAACGTTTTTGGCCACTCGCGGCCTCGCGGGGCCCTGGCGGGGCCCCGGGGCCTGCAGAAGACGACTCGGGCGGAAGAGCCGGCCCCCGCGGAAGAGCTCCAGACCGCGGAGGGCCCACGCCGCAACAGGACGCCACGGCGCCGCAGTCCTGGGCCGCGGGCGCCCCACTGCTGCGGGGCCGGGAGCTGCACACATCAGCACCATCAGATCCAGGCCCGTCCCCACTGGGCAAGCACCGGCCCGGCTGTCCGAGCTGCCCCCACTCGGTGGGG